TTATGCAACCGTACCTTCAGAGAGGTCATAATTTATTCGTTGATAATTGGTACACAAGTCCACGTCCTTTCGAGCTGTTGCATGCGAATTCTACTGGTGCATGTGGTAAAGTTCGACGAAACCGAATCGGAATGCCAGCTTTTACGAATAAGTTGAAAAGAGGTGAATACGAATATCAACACACTGATATTCTACTTTGTGAACGATGGTTCGACAAACATGAAGTTACAATACTCTCAACAACACACAAACCACAGATGGCAAGTAGTGGAAAAGCTCACTACGCTACTGGTGAACAAATTCAGAAGCCTGAGTCTGTCAAGGACTATATTGAAAATATGAGCGCTGTTGATAGGTCTGATATGCAGATTAGTTATGCTGAATGTGTTAGAAAGACAGTGAAATGGTATAAAAAACTCTTTTTCCATTTACTGGATATATCCATCCTAAACTCACACATTCTATACAAGCAAAAAACTGATAAAACGATTCATTCTTGTGACTTTCGATTACAGCTGATTCGTCAAATTATCGAAACTTACAGAAAACCAAAAGCGCCGACAGGACGACCAACCACTGGAGACAATCCTGTTAGACTTATCGCTCGCCATTTTCCATCACTTATACCTTCAACATTGACCAAACAAAATCGTCAAAGAAAATGTGTCGTTTGTGCGAAAACAACAAGAAGAAATAAAAAGCGAACTGACAGTAGATACGAATGTACTGAATGCGATGTGGGACTTTGCGTTTCTGGTTGTTTTCAGGATTATCATACTCTATACTACTTTTAGACGTTTTTTTTATTCATATGAATAAATATATACATCAGAGCTTCAAAACTTTCCTTTGTTTTTTTAAAAGTAACCCCGTCCCCAAGGGGTTAATACAAAAAAAATCGCAAAATTTTATCTTGTGTTAAATTTTTAGTGAATAATCATGAAATGAAATTTGAAACGGATACCGGATCAATTCATACAATCATCAATGAACGTGATTGAAAAAATATTGGATCATCGGCACTGCAAGCATCAAGGCACAAACCTAAGTGTTACAGTCGGAATTTACTTAAAGTATTAGCTGAATGCGAAGTAAGCATCAATTAGGAGAATCAAAAGTTACCTTTTGTTAGGTTATTTCTCCTTCGAAAAACTCCTGCACACTAGACACTAGTAAGCGGGACGAATTTGATAATAAGCTCGAGATCTATAATAGCTTGGTTAGTTATGTTTGATCCTACTTTAGTCATGGTGTTGAAGATAACTTGAATAAAGTCGTCACCGGAGACGAACTTTTATTTTCAAAAGAAAACAAACACGACTGGTGTTATTCTAAGTTCAGAGACAACTAGTGTTTGTAGACAGACTAGTTCAAAGGGGTCAGCCGACCGACAAAATCATAGAATATATAGAGAACAAAGTAGAAAATAGAGAAAAACAAGCAAAGCAAAAAAAATATATATATATGTCCCTTCTGTGTGGACAAACCTCACATAGGACAACAGAACAGAAAGGAAGAAAGTTAGCGATAACTAGGTAACCGCTCTTATCGCTAACAGTGATGAATTAAAGACAAAAATATTTTTACTAGGAAAAAACCCGCAGCTCACTGCAGAATAACTTTCTCAATATATATATAACTTGGTGTAGGCAAAAAGTTTAACTTTCCAACAAACTGGTAAGTAAAAGTTTTTCTTTAATCATGTAACGATCATAAAAACTCAAATAATTAAACAAGATTTCAGCTGCTGTGAACTTATCATAAGTACAACAAAAACTCAATTTCTTGAAATAAATGAGTACAAAGATGAATAAATGTACAGAGTACGACACAACGTTTATATTCATTCCACAAATTAAATTATTCGTGATATTTTGAGTATTTTACACTCACTTGAAACGTTGCAGAAACTGAACTATTACAGTACTACGAGATAGTAAAATTAACTTACAGCTTTTAATACTAAACATTAAACGATTTCAAAACCTCTAATGTGTAAGTGAGGTTGACAATGAAAATATGAATTCAATTTATTTGTAATTTCATTCAGAGCCACGCTACTATCCATAGTCATTCATTCTTGCCTGAAGAGATAATACATAGAGTATATTCTATAGTCTAGCATATCCATAATAGAATTTCGTAGTACATGTTCCTTATCTGTAAGATGTGAGATATTTACAGAAAAGATCTCTGAGCTTAACCGACAACGTTCGAATGTTTTAGAGAATATATAACGGGTGCGCCATAAATAACTGTTCTCTCAATATTTTTAAGATTTCTTTTCTATTATCGCTGTGATTAAAAACATCTTTATCGAAGGACAGCGCTTGAAATTCTGCACAGGATGGTATATTTATTTTTAACGAGCATAGTTTCCTCTATTCTTTTGGATTAGACGTAATCGTACAGTAAAATCAAGTACATAATGTAATTTTTTTTTCTTTTTCAACTCTTTTCACAGCACGTTTGATTTCGTCTATCAATGTTTCCTTTGTTGTTGCGTGCTCTCAGCCCATTGATTTAGTTAATTCATTCCATAAGCTGTAATCCGATGGACATAAATCAGGCGAATTTGGAGGCCAACGATCCTTCGAAATAAAAGCTGGAAAATAATCAGCACACCATTTTGACTTGAAGAATGTGTATGAGGTGTAGCTCCATCTTGCTGATAAGTCCAGTTGTTTCCTAACATTTTATTATCTGATTCTAAAGCAATGAGAAGAACGTCGCTGATATATCTTTCCGCACCCATCGTCACATCGTTCATAATTACCGGAACCGTCAGACCTTCAGCACATGCAACCAACCATACCATCACCCTAACTGGAAATTTCGTTTTTTGCTGTATACCACCTTGTTTATCCGTTTCTTCTCTACTGACTGGCCATATGCGGTCATTTTGAACATTAAATACATCATCTAAATTAAAATATTTTTCATCAGTAAAAAGCCGTTTTTTGGTGTCTTATTTTGTGTAGTTATTTAACACCCAATTGGCAGATTTAATCCTCTTCTGAAGATCAGTCAATTTTGGTTGTTTAATTTTCTTATATGGAAAACAACCTAGATCCTCACGTAATATTCATCATACTCTTATTGCTGAAATATTCATTTTAGCAGCTAATAATCTTGTTGACACCCGTTTCTTTTGAGCTAGACGACGTTTAACCTTCAAAATATTGGTTTTTGTTCGACTTGTGCGAAGATGACGGAGAGTATGTGATAAATTGATAGATCCGGTGTTGTTGATCATTTGAATTCATGATTTAATCGTTCGTAATTCCCTCGACTGAAAGGAGGGTCATACAAAAAGAATAGTTTGTCAGTTTGTCTGTGGCAGGGTCAAAGGTGAAAAAACGTTATTTTCGAAAATGCTCAAAACTCAATAAAACACCATTTGCGAGGGTTATTGAGACTGGGATCCGATGAGGGGGTGGGGGTGAGGGTCGGGGTTAAGGGTCAAAGGTAAAAAAAACATTATTTGTAAAAATGTTCAAAATTTAACAAAATATTGTTTGGAGTTCGTTGAAAGATTAACCGAGTCTACCCAAGCAGACAAAGTTTTCGAAAAAACGCGTTTCCACGATCAAAAAGTGTTTTTTACACGCTAAAAACGCCGTTATCAGGGTGTAAAGAACACTTTTTGATCATGGAAATGCGTTTTTCGAAAACCCTGTCTGCTTGGGTAGTTTTTATATGCCAGGGAAAGAGTCTTAGGTCTTAAACAGATGTTGGCCGCAGCAATAAATTGAGTAATATGATAAGATATTATGGATATGCATATGTACACATTAGATATTCTGTGGTCTGGAGAGAGAGTCATATGACGACAAATACTGTATATGGGGGTGTGCTTGTGTCAGAGTCAAAAGGCAACATTGATAGTGACTTCACAAATAGAATTCGAAGGTCGATGAAGCGAATCGATAACTGTAAGGGATTGTGAAATTGATCAATCAGGTATTGCGGCCTTTAAAGCTGACAAATTGGATATCTAGGATGAATGAAACCAGTGAAGAGCTAAGCCACTCTGCCTCGGCGAGCATTATCTAATTCTCTAAATGTTTGCAGTTATGGGTAAAGGTGGATTATTTTTGTCATTAAACTTGTTTTCGTGTCGTGCAGTTCGTATCGTTAACTGAAAACTAACGTTATTGTGTATGTGAATATCATCTTCAATTTTTCGAAATAAAAACGTTTCAAGAAACCATTTCACTATATGACGTTTATTTAAAAAAAACAGTCGGGGGTAAAGCGAGTCTGCCTCGACGAGCGTTATTTATGATATTATTCCAACTAAATCACGATAGGTTTTTGTTGGATCATCACCATTGTCATATTTATTTTTGTACAGTTGTTTGCATATCTTTACTTTTCATCTTTTCTGAAATATATGTAGAGTGACTTTCAATTCCAGTCATACGTATATTTGTAGAGAATCTCTAGCGCCACCTTTTGATAATAAAAGTATTTTAATCATACAGATAATAGAGAAGAAACATGAAATAATACGAAGAGGGCAGTTATTTATGGCGCACCCGTTATATATCGAAACTAGAGACCATGTATGCTTCGCCTAAATGCGAAATACGGTGCGACCTAGTATCTGGGAAGATAGGAGGTTTATGCGTTTGAACGTTCACTTCCCAGTTAATTTTCAAATTGATAGTTTTGTTGGCCGTTAAAAATATTTCTCGGCTAATATATAAAACTTTTGGTAGGAAAAAATTGAATAAAAGACTTGCGTAAAACGCTGTATAGTGATGTCGTTGTATTGATTGATCGTTTTTTTAGCTAATCATAAAGTAGAAACAGACTATCTATTTGGCGCCTTCCAAGCAGACAAAGTTTTCGAAAAACGCGTTTAAACACATAAAAGAGAACCGCGATTATGAGCTATTGACGTTCAGTTAAAATACGTTCGAACACGCGTTTACTGGGTTTTTTTCCAACTTTCTCAGCGTGTAAACATCAGAACTTTCCTTTTTCCAACGTAGAAACGGCTTGTTTTAGAATTCTATATTTAAAGACCGCTCCNGACATCATTATACAAGGTTTTACGCGAATCTTTTATTAAATTTTCTCCTATAAAATGCTCTCTGTATTAGCCGAAAAATATTTCCAACGATCTCAGGAACTATCGACTTGTACACTAACTGGAAAATAAATGTTCGATAGCATACACTTCCTCCTATCTTCCCCAAAACTCGTCGCACCGTATTCTGCATTTAGGCGAAGCATGAATGCTGTCTAGTTATAATGATAATGAAAAGATGCGAAGAAACTCAGGAATACGATACTCCTTAACGTCGCCCGTATTAATTATCAAAGTGTTTTTTCAGGAAAAATCAAAATAAAGGCATTATTCATTCTTTTTAGTTATCACAACAGAGGGGTAGTTTTGCGCGTTCTTGTTGGAAAAAACCGTGCAAAAGCAGCTCTTAATTGTTTTCCGTCTTGATATCACAGCAAGTTTTTCTGTTTTAGAGAGCATTTTCTTTTTTTCATGCGATGAAAGCATGTCACAGTGAGTAGCTGCCTAATTCGACTTATAATATAAGTGACCAATTCATATGACCCTTAGGAATAGAAATAGATTTAGTTTTACTTAAGATGCGATGCAAAAGTCTTTGCCCAAATGTCTGAGTGTATTAAATCACTCTGCGAATTTCTAAACTAGTTAAATGTTTTTTTGTTGGAAAGAGCAAAGTCTGAAGTTTAAGTTTTGTACAAAATATATTTTTCGTGATCGAATCTTAGAGGTAGAAAAAGTCGAAAACAACACGCCTCTAAAAAAGTCCTTGCAACATTTTTCGATCTTACAAGTTTTTATTTCTAAATTGTTTTCCCCTATGTATACCAAGTTTTCAGTAAAAAACTACACGATGTTATAGTGCATCAAAAGCTCTATCTATGTGACCCGTGGTGAAACCATTTACCGTAACTATTGACATTGCCATCAACACATTTTAGAAATTGAAGTTTTGCTAAAATACAATTTTTTAGAAGATATAGCGATCTGAAAAAATATGATTCAAAAACCACTTCCAATCATACATGAACTGGATTTTTCGAACGCCATTTCCTTCAACGATGTCATCTGATAGAGACTTGGAAGAAAAAACATTCAAAGTGCACTTTCATCGCTGGAAAAGGTACAATGTCTTGACTGTGTGGTATCTTTCAATAAAAGTTACAAGTAACGCTCATCCTTTGGATTCGCTGACCCTTTTCTGAAAGACTTTTTCGAATGCTGAACACATTCAGAGACTTTGAAAGAGAAAAAACGCACTGCGATCACTACTAGTGCTCAACTCAATCATGTCACTATGTCACACACTAGAACTGGAATGAATAGGATACAGAGGTCTTTTTAGGAATCAGACCGATTAGCCATTTGTCAGTGGATAATTCTCCAGCACTCACTATGTTGACTGAAAAATTCATCGCTCAACGGCTAGTCAGACGGCCACTCACGGCCAACCATTGACCTTTGTCATCTGTTTTTCTATTTTCACATGACGCGCATCGAAATTTTCATAAATGCTTCACTAAACCACTCATAGACGGACGATATACAGTAGACTTCTTGAAAAGTGTGAACATTCGCCTGTGTCGTCCAGCGATAAACCGATTCTTTTCTCTCCTGTCAACAAAATGATACCTTGTCGAATATTTTCATTGAGGAATATCCATTCGTCAAATCCCTTTCAAAATTATCTGAAGCCTGACAAGGTTATTCTAAGCGTGCACTTTAGGATTAATCTAGCATTTAAACGCCTAGTCGTTCGTCGACTTTCCTCCGTTGAGTCACTCACGGCTAGCCTTTGCCATGCTGTCTCTGTTATTCCTTTCGCTTTTGATCAACTTTTAAACTGAACGATTGGGCTTTCTTTTATGGTCACTTCGACTGCCCAAAGAAACTAGATGAGAAAGTCTTATTATATGACTTGCTTCGAAACGAACATCTTTCAAAGCGCTGCATGTGTTCACAATACTGTTTCTACAGCCCACGCGTCTGTGGTTACTAAGATGGAATTTCACCGATGGGTATATCGCTTTGCGAACTACTTCTACTAAATTCCCATGAAGGGACATGATGTATGTAGCCTACAAAGCAAAGATGATACTAAGCTCGTATCACTTTTTCGAATTTCTTGAATTAGAAACATCATTATGTACATTGCATTAGATCTTTTCGTGTAAGTTCTTGAGCTACTCTCTTTTTACACATGACGTCCGTGAATAGCGTTCAGCTCACCCATCTTCTACAAAATATTTCAGAATAGATGAAGACAAAATATGCCCTTTGTAAAGAGAAAGGGACAAGCCCAGGGCCAGCGAATAAGACGAAATTCACCCTCAAATTCGAATTTCCCGACGTCAGAAATCCTTCGGTCTACTCTAACAATGGATGTTAATAAGTCGTGGCTAATTAATGAAAAACTAATAATTAATTAATCAACACCAACCTCGGAGTCGTGATCCTCGACCCCGATTACCTGTCATCAATCATTTTCTAATGAGGTTGGTTAAGTTTTCATTGATTTATGAAATGCTGCAATCTGATTGGATTATGCAAACAAACAAACTTATTGCATTTTAGTGGCCTGATTTATGACGCTATAACCCTTTCTTTCAGAAAAGGGAATAGATGTATATCTATATAAACCTAGGAGTTTAGGAATAGATAGGGATAGATTTAGTTATGCATGTGTATATCGATGGACATAGGCTGACATATAGCTCGGCTGAAAGTATTCCTGAGACTATGTATAACAAATTCTATTCCTATCTATTTCTAAACGTACATGAGGGTGAGCTCAGACAGAGCCGAATCTATCCCTATCTTTTCCTAAGTATGTATAGGAGTGTATTTGGAATTCGTCACTTATATTATAACTCGAATTAGGCAACTACTCGTTTTTGTATATAAAATATGCGATTCATGAGGAAGAAATAAACCTAGGCGTAGTTCCATCGGGATATGCATCTCTTCCATCAAAAATCGTCACATATATCTAATACGTATTATGGAAACTTGCATTAGTGGACGAGTCGATACATATAGAGCTGTACCTTTTATTAATTTTTATCGCTTGATATCGTGTTTATTTGAACTGAAGTATTATTGCACGTGCACAACTATAAAGAGAGATCACAAAGAAGGCAGTGGAAGAGAGAAACAACTAGAAATAAGAAAAATGACATTTTACTGAGCTCCTTTATTACTGACTTAATCATAAATTATCACGCCATTTAAGTTTACTTGTATGGATAAGAGGTTAGCATGAAATGTATTTACAATATACACTTTAACTTAAACGAATACATCCTTCCTAATATATACATACTACTATCAAATACGCTTTTTCTCCGATATTACTTTCTGAAAGATTACAGTATCTTCAGAACGATACAATATTTTGTCCGACAATCTGCATAGGATTTCACCAAACGCTTACCCTTGTATCATACATAAAAAGTAGCTAAATCCAAAATTCTGAATTGAAAAGATTAGGTCGTTGCTTACGCGGAATAGGTTACATGCAAAAATTCTTTGTTTTATTGGATCTTCATTATATAGTACATATTGTATGGTATTTGAAATCACTTATGATTTCTGGAAGTTCTGTTGTTACACAGCTTTGATTTTTTCACACATGATATGTAATTTGTGTGTAGTAAATGGCGTTGGTAGCTGTTCTGAGAAATTTTGGGAATTTTCCTGCAGAGTAATCTGAACATATCTCCAATATTCATCGCAATAACCTTAAAAAGGGGTCTTCAGATATAGCTTTTGAAGTTTTTTGTCGTAAATAATCATATAATTCGGAGAGTCTTCTATTATAGAGAAATCTTTCAACATGTCTGGAAATTCAGAGCAAAAGCATCTAACACCATTGGAAGAACTAAATGAAGAATTTAAACGACAATATAAACAAACTTGGATGAATTTTTGGGATTCAACTATAGAAAATAATTCTGTTATTGTGGAGAAATTTAGCACAATCACTCTTTTTCATAAAGGAGATGAGTATCCAGGAGAAAAGTCAATACCGCCGGTTTATCATGACTTAAAAGGTATCGCACACATTCCATTAACTATCTATCTTCTTATCAAAAACTCGTCTTATTTAACTGATGATTCATTGGACAAATACTGGAAAGGCCTCAATACATTAGAAATTCCCAATTCATTACAACCGGCAGAAAAAGAGTCCGCTATTCGGATAATTACTGCTTCAAAGGTTCTCTTAGGAGAGGAAATGAATCAAAAGGGCTCACTTAATCTACAGAAAGTAAAAGATTTCTGCCGAAGTCTGACTGGAGACCTTGATGTACTGCTAGATGCAGCTGCAATTGTTCATGTGAAGAATTTACATACAATTATCCAGTCGTGGATAAAAGACCACAATTTTGATCCACGAGATCCGTCAGTAAAAGTTCTTCTTATTGGTCCTCGTTCAAATCGTCGAAATAATTTACAGACTACTTATTTTCAAGGTCTTCTCGATGATCCACAAGGACGACGTATTGTTTACACGGAAGAATTGTTTGCAGATGTACCAAAAGCTAAATCAATTTTTTCCAGATGGTTTGTAGATGAAGAAATAAGTGACTACTTTTATAATGACCAGGATCGGATGCATCGTGAATTACTCATGAACGAACGCGTACAGAAACAAATTAACGACCTTGTTAAGCCATAATTACTATATTTATTATTGTATTTTAGACGAGAAGAGAAAAATTATTTTTTTATTTCAAAACTGAGGCGAAGGTGGGCATGATAGTTTGGGTGAGCATAAAGAGCGAATGGATGACCCTCATTCATATTCACGAATTTTTCATTGCTACTTAATCTGTTTCAATCGATAAATATTCTATTAAATAATTCAATAAAAGTCTAATTATCAACAAACGTATTTTTATCAGCATGTAAGAATTCAATTGTACCGATCAAAATTTTATCATGACAATCGTGAACTTTTAGGTACTAGAGAATCAGTGTTACAGCTATATCTATCTAAAACTATTCCACATTGTCAAGTTCACATCAATAAATGAAATTTGATTTTTACAGAGAATTCATTTGAAAAAAAAACTTGTGTTTTTTTAACTGAATCATAAGGAACCCAGGACGATCGTTCCTGGAAGCAGTATTCCGCTTATTTCCGGCGAAAACCCGCCGGATATTCATATTTTCCGCGCTGGAAACCACGAGAAAAGACTCGGAATCCTACTAAAGGAACCGGTAACCGTATCCGACTATCGTTTATTGCGGGTTCTTGCTGGTTCCGGATAAAACCTTTTAAATCTTATGAAAGGATCCGATCGCCGGAATACTGCTTCCATGAAATCCGCGGAAGGTCCTGGGAACTGGTCGGTTCCAGGCCGGATTGTTCGACCTGGGAAGGACTAATTACATTGTTTCTGTATAGAGTGTTATCATGAAAACTTTTGTTTGCCGTCAGTTGTATGAACAAAGAACATTTTCTTACGAGAAAGAACACTTTTTTCAATTATTCTAACATGTAGAAATATTTCTTTTCCTCCTTTCTTTTTCATACAAGTAACGCGGCCTAGTAGCCGCTAAACCATCTACTGAAAGGATAGTATTAGAGCGCTACTATTCGTCCGAATAGAGAAAAAAGTTATTTCAGTCGAACAATCTGATTATTTGATAATTTGTCAGAATGTTTTACGTAGACCAATTTCGCTTCCTGAAATCTTCTGAAATTATAACGTCTAGTCGTTTCTCGGCCTCTCACCGGTCGACCACTCACCGCTAGCCGTCGGTGCCTAATAAGCGTCTAAAGATATTTTCATATTATAAAGTACCTTGTTCTTGTTGAGTCCGTCTCTAGCAAGGTTGTCGAAATTCTTCACAACTTCGTGACCCACAGTAAATCTTTTATCATCATTTTTAGTTGAATGAGTTGGTGATCTACATAGTTTTTCCTAGAGGCTCGAAAAGCTTAAAGTTTGTCTGTCCTATCCAATCAGAAATCAGCATTTCTTAAATCAGTGAAATTTACCTATAGCAACCAGAAACTGACTATTGGTAGGGTAATCGAGGTCGAGGAACTCGAATCCGATGTTAGTTTTTCGAAATTTCAATCAGCTGATTATCTAATTAGCTAATTACTAATTAGGAAATGAAACATTTTGTTGTTCTCGAGTAAGGGTCGACCGAAGGGTAATCGGGATCGAGGATCACGCATCCGAGGTTAGTTTCTCGAAATTCCAATCAGCTACTTAGCTAATTAAGTAATGAAAATTTTCTCCGTTATCGAGTAAGGGTCCATCGAAGGGTAATCGGGGTCGAGGATCACGAATCCGACGTTAGTGTTGCTTAATTAATTATTAATTTTTCATAAACTAGTCACGACTTATTAACATCCATTTTCAGAGTAGACCGAAGGATTTCTGACGTCAGGAAATTCGAATTTGAGGGCGAAGTTCGTTTTATTCGCTGAGCCTGGGCTTGTTCCTGCCTCTTTACAAAAGAGATATTTTTCCTTATCTGTTCTGAAATATTTTGTAGAAGATGGGTGAGCTGAACGCTATTCACGGACGTCATGTGTAAAAAGAGAGTAGCTCAAGAACTTACACGAAAAGATCTAATGCATTGTACATAATGATGTTTCTAATTCAAGAAATCCGAAAAAGTGATATGGGCTTAGTATCATCTTTGCTTTGTAGGGTACATACATCATGTCTTTTTATGGGATTTTAGTAGAAGTAGTTCGCAAAGTGATATACCCGTCGGTGGAATTCCATCTTAGTGATTACAGACGCGTAGACTATACAAGCAGTATTCTGAATACATGCAGCGCTATGAAAGATGTTCGTTTCGAAGCAAATCATATAATAAGACGTTCTTATCTAGTTTCTTTTGATAGTCGAATGAATAGAAGATCATGACTGTCGAAGCGACAAGGCATTTAAATGCTAGATTAACCTTGCCAGGCTTCATATAATTTTGAAAGGGATTTGACGAATGGATATTCCTCAATGAAAATATTCGACATGGTATCATTTTGTTGACAGGAGAGAAAAGAATCGGATTATCGCTGGAAGACACAGGCGAATGTTCAAACTTTTCAAGTAGTCTACTGCATATCGTCCGTCTATGAGTGACTTAGTAAAGCATTTATGAAAATAGAAAAACAGATGACAAAGGTCAATGGTTGGCCGTGAGTGGCCGTCTGGCTAGCCGCTGAGCGATGAATTTTTCAGTCAACACAGTTAGTGCTGGAGAATTATTCAATGACAAATGGCTAATCGGTCTGATTCCTAAAAAGACTTTTGCATCCTATTTATTCTAGTGTGTGACATAGTGCCATGATTCAGTTGAGCACTACTAGCAATCGCAGTGCGTTTTTTCTCTTTCAAAGTCTCTGAATGTGTTCAGCATTCGGAAAAGTCTTTCAGAAAAGGCTCAGTGAATCCAAGGGATGAGCGTTACTTGTATTATAACAAATTGTTTTGTTGAATTTTTCAGATTTTCAGTACTTTATTCTAATGAAAGCTTTAAAGGCAATTGCCTTTATGGAAGATATCAACAGTCCCGCTGGACTTGGTGTGATCAAGACAACCGAAGATCATTTTTTCAGGTAGTATTCATGAAGATTTCTACGAAAAGAAATCATCAAACTCAAAATTTCACATAATCGTGACGAACATCGACCAATACGTCGGTTCACTAATCCAACTTTTACAGTAGATGCATTTGGAAACCTTTATTTTACGTACAAAACTACAACTTCTCGGTGATATGGTTGCTTATTAGGATTCAATATGCATTTGTACGTTGGTAATTTAACCTTACGTTAGTATACAGTCTCTGACGTATATAGAGTAGCTCCATTTCAGATTTAGTACTAATATCCTCTTAAACTATATCTACGGTACTTATGGTCAGATATAAATATGTAAAAAGAATGTTTGTTTGTGTTAGTTATTTTTGTTCTTTTTGGGTTGGAGCAAACAGTGTGAAATGTTTAACTCCTTGAGCACGGGGCTTTTTTCAATAGAGCAAACAAGACTTTAGACACTCTGGTGGATGCAAGAGACAATGTGTGCGAAGATAAATAGAAAATAAACCATACATGATACCAGTGGAACATGACATAGCGAAAAAAAGAAAAAAGGTGAAAGAGGGCACTATACGAATGAAAGCATAATACATTAGCGATATATATATAGCAGTACAGACCATCAAAATATCGTAAAAAGTATACCCAAATAAATTATGAATTGATTTCAACCTGAACGTATATATGCGTCATCCGTACCCAAAGGAATAAATCGAAATGCATGATTAATTTTCGTTCGAAAAAAGTTATTACTGTACTTTCTCTTTTAACCGTAAAGTTTTTTAATGCTATTTGAATCTTCAACAACCGCTAGACTCATTACTGGCTTGTGCATACCATCATATGAGTCAACGCCATGAAAGCCTCCAGCAAAATAGCACATTTTTGATTCATTTGTATTTTCATCTTGGACTTTGACCGGCACAACGAGTGAATTCAGTTCAAAATCTTTCATATGATAGGTTCTCGCTCCGTATGTTTCGTAGCAAAGTCGAAGGAACCAACCATTCACGTAAGTTCCATCTTTCACACTAAAAGTAACACACACTGACGAAACGTCCCGTAGATACAAAATCGAATGACTAACGTCATTACTCGTTGCTAATCACAATTAGTATAATACTTACGCAGAGCTCTATTCATAAAATCACTTGAACATCGAAAAATGAGTCTTATAGATCTTCAGTCATTCTTCTCCCCTCTGCACAACATACTAGGTGTGGATGTGGGTGAGAGAAGAAAAATATTCTCATTCACACTCAAGAATTTTCGATAAATGTGCTCTTATTTCGTTAATAACATGAACAACACATACACAAGACTCACCCTGACATACCACCTCTATGTTCCAAATCAAAAATAGTATCCCAGAATTGATTATCGACTTTGCCCTCATATGTTTGAATAAATTGGTTAAGAATAGGTAATAGATCAGTGATATATCGAAAAAATATGTCTTGGTCCGTAGTAAACGATTGCAGTTGTCTAGTTTTTTCTTGCAAAAGCTTCCAGTCATCCAAAGTACCCATAAAGTGAACATTACGAATACCACACATAGACGCACAATATGTATAATCAAAGTATTTTTTGAATGCGGTCATAATTGCTACACATGAGACGAGCGATTCCAGCTGAGTAGTCGTGGAGAAATTATTCGTGAGGAGATTACAAATATCATTTTTGACATTATTGTTGACTTTCTGTCGCATATCTTCCAAAAAACGATTCCAACTACAGATCAGAGAGGAAATAGTTAGTTTTAAAAAAATACAAGTAACTATTTATGATAAACTGTGACACTTTGTAGCGTTAGCACGACAATACCGTACTTGATTTACTATATTGAGGGTGAGAAATGATCCTATTAGAAAATCCGATGTTTTCTGAAAAATTTTCACGACAAATACTTTTAACTAGGGATGGCCCTTTCCATTTACTCTACTTGGGTTACGTCACTACAAAGTAAGTAGATTTGCGATCCTTATAAATTAGGAATGGTATTTACTTTTAGCTAGTGACTACTTTCAACATTTGTATAGCATACCGTTTGTTTAATTATATGTGATTGAATTCTTGAACATTTTGCTACTTTTCAAATTATCAACTTCTCCTATATAACATTTAATTCGATACCCAATCACTCAAAGTAAGATGGATAGATAGTTCAGATATTTTATAGAAGTAGAGTCTGCGAGTTATTCGACTAGTACTCTCTTATTAATCGTTTTTACACTTAATCGTCCACGAGCTCGGATACAGTAACTCTATATCACATAGTATTTTCTCTCTATGGTTATACTTGTCGAGAGATGTTCACGAGGATAGAAGAATACTCAGTGGCGGAGAGTTAATCCTAAAGAAAATCGATCAGATAAAGGCAAAAAATGAACTTGAAGTATGATTAGACAACTAAACATCACTTACTCGGGCTTGGTAAGTATATGTTTTACAGTCAGTTCCTTTTTACCGTGGTGACCAACAAAAAGGCGACGAAGTTTTTCCGCATTATCATTAACATATTTCGAAAAGCCGATGCACACCATGAGCCAGATGTCATCCGGTGATAGAATAATGTCTTCATGAGAATTATAAGCATGGATAAATGCTGTCAGAATTGGATGACTACCACCAGAATGAGTATCTAGATCAAAAGACAGCTAAAACATTAATTCTACAAAGATGCAGTGTTTCAGCAACATGGATAACGCTCATTGCAAACTTTAGAGTCTGCCGAATAACTCAAATATCGTGCACAAGAGACTAAACTATATGTGTTTGTTTTTTAGCAAAATCTTTGTCACCTAAGCATAAATTCTTGTTCAAGACAAAGTAAGGAACCTGACATGAAGACAAAAGTTTGATTTCTATCAAACTAAATAACTTACAAGGTCCATTTGCTTTACTGTACAGGAGTTTGTATTGCGTAGTATCGCTTTGCGCCCCATGACATCTATTTGGAACATCGTTTGTATTTGTACGATGAACCACATCTACCCAAAAGCTGTTCGATGGAAGATCCTTAGATGGTTCAGCTATGTGGCTTTTTGAAATCTTCGGCAGTTCACCTCGAATTACAACTGTATGGTAATTCGGTCGCTGACGTTCAGAGTGTGTTGAATCCTGAGACGGCAATACTTGACTTTCTTGTAGGCCTTGCTGAGTGCTGCTTTCAAATGACATCCGATCATGTGGAGGCGAACGCTTTGTTAATCTACTAATAAGCTTATTGTTTTGGTTTTCCATGATTGACAGGTAAATTGCTTCAAAGAACAAAATCTTTACCTAGCAACAATTGAACTGCTTCTAATTCTGAAACTGATATGAATAGATAGTTAAATGTGAAAAACAATAGTAAATCGTTTAACATTATGGTTGATTGAACACCTCGAAAAATATTTTCATGAAAGCTTTTATAAAACTTTGAAATTAATCGCACAGTGGAATTAATTTGGTTGTATGAAATACTCAAACCATATTTAATAACGTATCTGATCAAAAACGATGTAGAGACAGCGTTGGAGATTTTTGTATACTTTCTTTTCGTAGTACTACCAAGACGAATATGAGCAGAATATTTATGTAATTGTTCGTCTAAAAATTGATACTGTCAATATTAGTAACGATCCAGTACATCGTTTTTATATAGATGAACGAAATTCGCTTGGGTTTTTCCAATCGATACCTTTTGTCACGTATAGGAAGAAAGTGCGCTCTTTTTGCAAGGAGACATGATATTTCAATGAAGTGTGCGTTATATCATCATAGTTTTTGTGTTTGTTTACAAAGTTGCCTAAGTATAACGTTTATTTTCTTACTTTCTCTCCATGATTATTGATATTGAATGACAACTAGTTCCGAAGCAAGGTTGTTTGTCGATATTTTTCTATTTAAAAGAGAAAAATAAATCACGAAAGAAATCATTCGGTCGTATTATTAATTGTTACAAAAGAAATGTTGAAATTTCATGCAATTATATCATAAAGAAAATGAACAATTGGAATATTGACATAAGAAATATTTTAATATTAGAAGTATGATTAAAATTTAAATAATTTGTTCAACGTTGTTGACACACACTAAGACGTAAAAAGTCACAATTAACTAGTAGATTTTCAAAGATTAGCAGATGCCCAGGTTATTATGGCACGGTTGGTTCCGGCCGGTTAGGTTCGCTTTCCAATCATTTCCTTGGAGCAGTCATCCTATTCCGCAATGTTGAACATTTGGGAACCAGTTCCGCACACGGAATCGATTCCTACGATTCCGGAATTGCTTGCCGAAATCCGGCGGCAAAGAACCAGCCGGAACTTGCTGGAATCGGCGAAAACTGTGCCGGAATCGAGAAGAGCTGTACCGGAGTCGACTGAGATTTCAACGGATCCAGTCACCGGAATGATCGACCTGGGGAGCAGTTCTTATATTATATTAAACATCAACGACAAGCGAAAATGGATTGCGATGTTTCAGGATTATAAACCATCGGTGAATATGCAAGCATTATTTGGTAGCATTGTTGATGGTGGTGCTGTGTTGACTAGGGGTATTGTCAGTCAATATTTTGGAACATCAACTGATGAAAATAGTAATCAACAGCTACATACAGATCCGTCGCAAACTACTGATGCAGTAAATAATGCAACACCTAATAAAGTCGACACTTATGCGGGAGTCGCGGGTCTTTCGTTGCCGGTGGCTACGTTTGATGGATTGAAAGCTTGGTTATCAACTCATGTTTCTCAATATAAGAAGAATATCGAAGGTTGTATGTTAAAAAAATTAGAAGGTTTTATGAACGAAAGTGTAAAAGAATAAAAGACGAACTACTTTCATTTGTGCAATTTATGTTGCTTAATTAGTCTTGAATTCATTTAAAAAATAAACGCGATTTGGAGCTAATCTACTAGTGAGAATACATCCTTTTCCCTCATGTTGCACATTGCGGAGTCAGTTCCGCCCTGGAATCAATGCCGAAATTCTACAACGGAATCACAACTTTATTCTGTGTATTAATCCCTTTCACTTCGTCCTTGTGATCATTTTTTTAATTTGAGTTAAACAAAAAACGAATCAAATTGAGAGTTCATGTGGAATTTCAAAATCGTTACTGAGTTGAACTTGTCGAACAGAACACATCATAGTGAACGGATACATATCATTGAAGTAGGTTGGAATATTCAATCGAACTGTTCGTTCTTTTTCAATAATGGCTTGTTGCTTATGAGTATTCATCAATTGTATATTTTGAGTTTTCTCATAAGCTATTACCAAACGGCGATGACTGATTTCAGCTAATGGATAATTTTCAAAAAATGCTTTGTTTTCATTATTTAGTTCATATATCAATAAGGCTCGTTGAATATGTTCTATAACTTGATTCCAATTCTGTAACCGTTCATAGATGATCGCTAAAGCGACATGCATAATCGCTTGACCTTGTTGATTTGTTTCGGAACAAGATTGAAGAGCTTTATAAGAGTTGTCTACGGCTAAATCAAATTGCTCTAATAGAAAATAAAGTAAACCACGTCCACGATATATTTCAATAATGCGTTGAGAATCATTGCCAGATTGAAGTAACGCTCGATCAAGACAGTCCAATGCAGATGGATATCGTTTTAAATCAACATAGATAACAAACATGTTAAACAAAAAATTCTTATCTGTACAGCGTTCATTTTTATCAATTTCTTTTAAATCATCTAAACTTGCACTAAGGTGAACTTGCGATTTAGTTACTTTCCAAAGCATCGCTTGAAGAACTGCTCGAAGTGCATAAACATCGACCGGCGGAGAACCTAGTTTTTTACAAATATAGAAAACACCAATGTATTTTCAAGTGCTTACATGGATCGTGTTTGTAATATTGTTGCATAGCTTGATTAGCATAATGAAGGGCCATGCCGTACATTTCTCTTTCTTTATAAATCACAGAAACTGTGGAGAAAATACATCCGAGTTTGTCATGAGGAATTTTTTGATCAGGAGTTTCCATAGATTGCGTTTTGGTTATTACCTGAAGGTAAATATTTAATGCTAATGATTTGCAAGTCTTTTCTGTGCGTTCGTTAAACTTAGCAGCTAAGCTGAGTACATAAAAGTGATCTTTGATATCATGTTTTTTTAGGAATCCACCTATCAAAGAATTATATGATTTGATGAGGAAAAGATCTTCGCAACGAAGTATATGAAGTTGAGAAAGGAATCGATATCCATTCATTGTAAGTTCATGTTCTTTAGGATGCGATTGCAACAATCTTCTTAAGAATTTCATATAAAAATTGATCAATCGATTTCGCAAAGTTAATAATAAATTATCTTGATGAACATTTTTAATTATTTGACTGAGAAAGAGAAGCCAGTAAGTACTCGCTTCTATTTCATTCAAAGAGAAAAGAATGTTTCCAATAAGAACTGAAGCGGTTAGGAGATGCGAATTGTTCAGATTTGTTCTTTTCGTGAACCAAGTTGTGACTGTTATATCGCTCCGTTTTTTTGAATACATCGCAGGAATTACAGTCGATGAATAGGATATACATTTTTCTCTTTCTTCTGGTGTAATTTCTCCAGCTGGTAATGGTTGAAATTCAATGGTGTAACTAAGTACGATTTGTTTCATATCCAACATTTGACGACACGAACGATCCAATGTAATAAGAAGAACTTGTTGATGATCGTCTATATTTCGAATGTCATCGGATAACTTAGCGAAATCTTTATAAATCTTGAGTGGTTTTGATAGAAAATCAATCTCACAAACGGACTCGATATTTAATAAATCATCTCCATCGTGAAATAAAAAAATATCCACCGGCGACATTTTGTTTTATTCAATTGTATACATTTATCTGCGTATTTATAAAACGAAGGCAATCATGCGTGAGAAAACATGATATAAGTTGAAAGGAAGTAAACATCGTTCGTTTTAACGACAACGAATTATCGGAAATCAAACGCGCTCTTATTACAATGTTAAAAACAATTTGGTATCGTTGTGCAACTGAATATAACGGCAAAGAAATTGAAAAAGACGCAGAATATGAAAAAAAACTGGTCAACGCATTTCCCGAATTATTAATGTTCACTGATATAAATAACTGCATTGATTACATCAGCGATTGTGATGAACGAACAATTTCTTTGATTCTTTCAGACGTTCACGGTATTCAATCTTTATCACTTATTTATCAACTGAGACAATTCATACGTATTTATATTTTGGAACCGATTTCATCGATGAAACAAACATCAGATGATGTCATTATCAAAAATTCTCCGGTTATTTGTGGTCCATTTAAACAAGTAAATAAACTAATCGCTCAGTTACATTGCGATGTAATATCACCGGAGAGAGCCACTTTTACAAATCCTTTCGATCTTCTTGTTGATCATTTACATACAATTGATGATATTGACGAACGAGAAAATGAACGTCTTCACTTTCAAGTCATACTCACCGCGCTTCTACGTTCTGATACTTCAACGGATTTTGTTCGACAGTTGATGATTGATGAATGTCGTAAACATTATACAAATATTAACAACATAGTTTATCTACGAAAAATTGATGAGTTTGAACACAGCGAAAGTCGATTTTCAACTTTCCATTGGTGGTCACAAGATTCCTTTGTCTATCGTTTGATTAATGAGGCACTACGTTCTCGTCATTGGAGTTCGATTATGAAGTATCGTTATTTTATTGTGAAGCTATATAACGAGATAAAGAAACTTCATCAAGAACAATTTCCAATAGTACATAGCGATGATTCGCGTAACCAACTTTTAGTGTATCGTGGTCAAAAGTTATTTGCACATGATTGGAAACTATTGGAAAACAGTGTCGGTGGATTAGTATGTATAAATTCTTTTTTATCAACCACCCTCTACGAAGGTATTGCAATGCAATTTGCTTATGCATGTCGAGAAGAAAAAACTGTTGCTGTGATTTTTCGAATTACACTTGATCGTCGTGTTTTATCTTCGATTTTTGCTGACATCTCTGGCCAGAGCAGTATAACATATGAAGCTGAAGTACTTTTATCTCCAGGTGTTGTGTTTCGTGTTGAAAATATCGCGTATGATGATGCGTTTGATCGATGGGTTGTTAATCTGATCGCTACTGATCCAGATAAAGATTCTTTACTTTCATTTATGCTATCCAAATCGGATAGAACAAGTCTTGGCCAAGTGCTTTATCAAACGGGCGAATATGATGCAGCACGTGACTATTGTGAATTGATGCTGAGGTATACAGGTGAGCATCTTACTCATTATAGTATTCTTGGAAATATTTTCAAGGAAATAAAAGAATATGATCAAGCACTTGAAAATCATTATAAAGCCCTTAAATTTGTCACATCAATTTATCAATGTTCAGTGGTTTATTATAATCTTGGACTAGCATATTTAGGTAAAGGCGATTATAATCGTGCCCTCCACTATCACCACGAAGCATATGAATTAGAATGCGTTGAAGGTGAAACGGAGAAGTTAGCATTAATCTATCATAATATGGGATTCGCTTATATCAAAATTGGCGCGTTGCGTCTTGGCGTAGATTACTTAGAAAAAGCACTAGACATACAAAACAGCGTCTTACCCTCTAATCACTATCATTTGGGTTGTACATATCTGAATTTAGGTGATTATTATCGTGCACAGAATGAAAGTGGACAAGCTTTAGAATATTACCAACACGCTCTTGATATATTTCGATGTTCACGACAACATGATCAGAACGCCGTCACTCGTGCTCATTTTCGTATTGCTAAACTATATTCTGATATGGATCGATACGACATGATGACAAGAACGTTCGAACAACTGATAAAAGCCTATGGGAGAATGGCTAACGGTTTAGCACTTGCACGTGTTTATATGATGATAATGGAATGTACGTTTTATTCAGAAAGGAATCTTAAACAATGCGCCACATATGCCGAGTATATTCTCACAATTCGTCGACAGCATCTAGATGCCGATCATAGATTGATTGGAATCACACACTATATTCTGGGTTCACTTCAACTTGGAGCCCATATGCAATGCTTTCCAGCACATGACTTTGCTGCTCTAATCAATGGTCAAAAAAATCTTATGCGAGCGGCTGAAATATTAAAGTCATGCCCCACTTATTCCATTAAAGTAATTGAAAACCTCGCTTTCGTTTACCGCCAACTGAAACTTTATGACAAAGCCATCGTTTATTTTAAGCAGTCAATCGAGCATACATCAATTGACAGTAAATATCTTCCACAACGCTATAAAAACCTAGCATCGGCTTATGGAGAGCTACATCAATTTAAGACTGCCATTCGGTATTTAAAAGAGGCATTGCGTCTATATGATCAATCATCCGAAGGTATAGCAGATCGAGAAATTATCCGCTGTCATGCTGTTCTCGGTACATTTTACAAATATACTAAACGGTACAAGTTAGCACTGAAACACTTCTCTACTACTCTTTCACTATGGCGAATGACAGCTGGTCCCATGGATGCTAGTCGTTCTGTCGGTGCAGTTTATTATCATACGGCTGATATTTATTACAAATTACGTTTGCCGTATCCGTCATGCATTGCTCAATACTTTTATTTCTGGAATCAATATAGAATTGACCAGATGAATTCTCAGCCGGAAGCAAGATCATCATTAATGGATTCCGACCCTGGACACATCAATGGCTTTTCTATTCAAATTCAAATAGATCTCGATTGAAAAAAACAAACTCCAAATCCATCAATGACCTAAATCTTTTCTGTATTTCAATATGCTATTCCTAATGTCTAAAGAGTTAAATAATGTTTCTAGTAATCGACAGTGACGCCATTGCCAACATACAGAAGTGAGCGTGTCGACTGAGAAGAAGTCACATTCCACGCTATCATCCTTAAAAGTGTTTGAAATCTATTTTAACTTTTTATGAAGTCCATTGCTAAGTTTACAACCATATCTTCGTAGACATGTGCCAGAGAATTGTCAAATGTGCGTTTTCATGTAGTAAGATCCATTATCAGCATATGACGATGTCAGATATAGTAAAATAGCATCAGGCACTAGAATACAGGGAAAAAAAGACAGAATGCAAACAAAATCTAGAAGAGTATAAATCCGTTCTCTCCTATTCCGCAAATGAATTACGAAACTACCTTCAGAATCACAGTGAATGCTCCCACTATCGCAAGTGCACAAAAAAATTACACAATAATCGTCGCAAGGTAACATAAAAGAATAAAGCATACTTTACGAAGGATTATCGTTCTAACAACATAAGAAGGCCTACAATTATTGCATTTTCATCTGTTCTTTTCTTATGTTAATGTTTACCAATATGATTTTATTTATTTTTCTTAGATAAGAAAAAAAAATAGTTCGAAAAGATACAACACGCAACTATTGCATCATATGAAATGTGTCTAAAACGTATAATCGCTTGATAAAATCAACTCAGAAGAAAACTGTTTTCGTTGATCAGTCAGACATAGGATCACCCTTGGTTTTTATATGACTGTGTTTGAGACTTTCAAACTACAAGCATTCTTTGCAACTTCTCCATATTTGTCGAGAAGATAATATTCTGTTCGTCCGACTAAACCTTTTGACCGTTGAGATCCATAGGCAAAATGAACAGTAAGTGCTGAACCGACTGCAATAGAATGTTTCTTTTGTAGCGTCGGAATACGACGTGAGATTTGCAATTCATCATCTCCCATATCCAGACCCATTACATCTTTCCCTTGAAACAATATAAAATTAATCGACCATCCAGTATAATTACCAGGTGTTTCCATGTAGTGAAAATCCCACAATGGAAACATATATGCAGATAAGGTGCCTTCTTTGTATCGTTTGATAAAAGATTCATGCTGTAGAACTCCACATCGATAACTTCTCCAATCACAAGCGTGAAGTGAG